TTCAAAAGTAAGAAAAGTCGGATTTTAACATTTTGCTTTTCTGTAAAAAAAGCTCTTTGTGTCAATGCTGTGGTTGTTGCATGTCAAAAAGGTTTATATCATCGGAAAGAGGAGACTCTGAGCTTTCATTTGATGTGTATATTGTCGGGAAACTTGATTGTGGAGCATGCACATATGGCTGTAATGTTTTTGGAAAGTGGTCGTAGGAATGGTAAGGGGTTTAAAACATGATCTTGTATTGAAGTGCATTTAGGTCTGACACTGTCCTATAATGCAGGATATCTCTTTAATTTTTGGCCCAATCAGAGCGAAATTAATGTTATTGATTGAATATTCTCTGTAATAAATACCAGTAGAATAATCCATTTTCTCAACTGTGTTCTATCAGTAGCAGTACCAGCAGTTTAAACGGACTTAACAGCAAATCAGAGCCAAACATGAAAACATATTTATGTGATTTCTGCATCACCAACTTAAGATGTCAGGTTCCCATGGCAACGTGATATTTACTGTAGGGCTGGACCCGAACATCCTAATATCCAAATATTCGGTCGTTGTGGTGGTATATGATATATATTCGTCCGCAAACCTGCCCCAGCCTGCACATCCCTTGCCGCCGCCGCTGATGGTGGAAACAGAATTGTGACTGTCAACCTAAACTGGCATCAGCAGCCAAGTACTGCCTGTGCAGAGCGCTCGAAAGCCTGGCTATGTCAAATTTGCTTCGTGGTACACCTCTCTGGTCCCGACACGGATAGGTTCACAGAATCTGTTACTACGGTAACTGACCAAGGTCTTAAGTTATCTCTCTCTGTGAAACAGGCTAGAGTTATCCCTCTTCCTCTGGTTTGAGTTACCTCCCTTTTTGAGACGCAAAACTCAGTTTCCCTCATTTCAGCGTTTAGTTTCATTAAACCTGCTTTGTGAAACGGACCCCAGAGGGGTATACTACGATGCAAGTTTGACATAGCCAGGCTTTCTTTGTGTAAGCCAAATTGACAAAACCTAAAGGCCCAGCCAGAGATTACGGGTATCACGAAGGTGGTTAGAAACTTTCTTTGTCAACTCAGGCTTTCAGACCCTGCGCACGTTCACATGAAAAGGGGCATTTAACACATCACATGACTCTTCTTCTGCACAAAATGAAACGATTGGGTGCAGCTGCTTCAGTCAACACATTGTTTTAATGGAGAACAATGAGGAATATATGTATTTTTTTTAAAAATCTGACGGTAAAAAGCACCGCTACTGCAAATGGTGCAAGACAGGAATGCTGGTAGAAAACTCTCAAATGTGTTAATATATAATATTTTACCAATGCAGTCGATTATTTCCAACTTCATCTATTTAACATGAGCTGCATGGTGACGCAGTTGGTAGCATTACTGCCTTGCAGCAAGAAGGTCGCGGGTGCGGGGGCACCGGGATCTTTCTGCGTGGAGTTTGCATGTTCTCCCCATGCAGCGTGGGTTCTCTGGCTTCCTCCCACACAGTCCAAAAACATGTTGAGGTTAATTGGTGATTCTAAATTGTCCATAAGTGTGCATGGCTGTCTGTCTCTAAGTGTAGCCCTGTGATAGACTGGTGACCTGTCCAGGGTGTCCCATGCCTTTGTCCTAAGTCAGCTGGGATAGGCTCGAGCCCCCCTGCAACCCTAGTGAGGATTAAGCAGTGTATCGATAATGGATGGGTGGATATTTAAACATGATCTTGTATTGAAATGTATTTAGGTCTGACACTGTCCCATAATGCAGGATAATACTTTAATTTTTGGCCCAATCAGAGCGAAATTAATGTTATTGATTGAATATTCTCTGTAATAAATACCAGTAGAATAATCCATTTTCTCATCTGCTTTCTCTCAGCTACAGCACCAGCAGTGTAAACAGACTTGACAGCAAATCAGAGCCAAACATAAAAACATATTTATGTGATCTCTGCATTGCCAACTTAAGATGTCAGGTTCCCATGGCAACATAATATTTACAATAGGGTTGGTAAATATTTGGTCGTTGTGGTGGTATATGGTATATATTTGTCCGCAACCTGCCACCAGCCTGCACACCCCCCGCCGCCGCTGCCGATGGTGGCAACAGAACTGTGACTGACAACCTAAACTGGCATCAGCAACCAAGTACTGTCTGTGCGGAGCGCTCTGTCTCCGTCTCCGCCTCCGCCAACTGTGCAATATTGTAACAACATGGCTTTATTCAGTGATATTAGTAACCCACAGCTCAGCATGTTTACAGATAAAACATATCCCTTCAGCTGAGAATCTGTATCACTCATAAATAATAATCAGGACACGATCTGGTTAAAGGGAGATGCTTTTTCCAGCCGATTTAAATCTGAAACTCTGAACATAACCTGCTCCCGACCAGGTTGGCTCCACAGCACAAGTTACCGCAGAGATTTAGCCAGGTAAAAACAGAGCCACCTTCGTGATACTGAAAACTCTGGCTTTAAGCTCAACATAACTTGCTAACCCACTAATCTAGCTTCGTAGTACAGCCGTCTGGTGAACCTGCCTTTACCCTCGCTATGTATAAGAGATGGACATAGCTACCGTGACGTCACCCGTTGGTTTCTGCACTGAGAAAATGAAGTGATTTCGGACACAGCCAGGGTTTTGCTACTTCCTGGTTGACATCTTGGATTTTTGGAGCCAGTGACGCAAAAAACGTTGAGGAGGGCGGAGTCGGAGAGCAGTAATTGGTCAGATGGACTGAGAGCCGAGGTCTCGCTCCCCACCCACATTTACCGGCTTCTGCTGTGTTTACCGACGCTGCTGCTAACAACGTTAGCCTCCAAAAGTGGAGCTAGACTCTACAGGTGAGTGTTAAAGTGTCTCAGTACCTGGTTGTTTTCTGTCCACATCTGGCCGATGTTACATATGAAGCAGCGACCTGCGTTACTGTTGCTGAAGTTACTGTAAGTTAACATCAAGCTGGAGCCTCTGATGGTGAAACAGGATCTGACATTGTGTTTAAACTCGTTCTGTAAATCTCAGGTTACGTTTCCTGACTAGTTAACTCTGATGCTACATCAGGTTTGTCAGCGTCATAAATGAGTTACCTGGTGTCTGTGACTAGTTTCCTGTAGGTCACATCTGATCAATCATAACGGATCGATAACGTTATTGCAGTCTGTTAACTGCTGCTGTCTCATGGCAGACAGGAAGGATCAACAGAAACTAAACCAAGCTGCTACATCATAGAACACTGATTAGTGTTAATCTCTCTGTTCATGTCTCTGTTCTCTGATTTTTAACAGCTTCTGGTTATTTCACTGAGACAAACATCTGCTAAAATGATTCCTTCTCTTCCGGAAACAGTGAAGTTACTGAGGTCTGATCACCATGACATGAGCATCACAGTGAACCTCAGAGCTCAGTCACAGTTACTGTTATTTAATGTAAATCAGTCCAGCAGACTCTCTCTACCACAGTGTTTTATGGGATAACTTTCTCTTTTCTCTACTAATCACATCATCATACTTTGGAATAAATAGAATAAACTTTATTGTCCTTCTCAGGCAGTAAAATGTTCTTTGGCCTCATCCAGGGAAACAAACATTTCCTTCAGATTAAAAAACATATTATAAATTTTGCTATAGTCATATCCTGCTGTGTTCATTCTCATATTTAATGTTCCAGCAGCTGGAATAAAAGAATCTTGTAGATCTGTGTCTCACTGTTTGTGTCTTTTCCTTCCAGCCATGATGTGGATCACTGGGAACATCTGGTCTGATGTGATCTATGAGCTACAGAGAACATGAACATTCAGCTGAGGTTGTCTGAGGTGAAGAGTCTTCTCTCCTTCTTCATCCCTGTGAGGAAGAGCAGCACTGATGTCCTCCTCATCTATTCCAGTAATAACAATAATGTTGAACTTCAGTTCCTTGTCTTCATAAAGCACACTTATCTTATAACTGTTAAGTATTTACACTCCACTGTAAGCTGGGCAACACCTTTATTTCATCCATTTATTACATACTTTGACACATTTTTCCAGTTCAGAATTGTTTAAATAATGTAGTTTTTAAATGTGCAATAAAGGTGTTAATGAAGCTCTTGTCCTGAATGCGTTCATGTTTCAGTGCTTCATATCTGCTATAAATGACAGCAGCATGTTCTCCGTATTGCAATGATGCACCAACAGCAGAGATTAAGTTAAAGGTGATAAATGAACCTGTGAATACTGAGAACAGAGAATAAAAAACTACTGAAACAGCTGGTCTGTCCTTCTGTAAGTGAAAGCTGAACTGGAAGTGGTTCACTGAGGATGATGTCCATTCAGTCTCCTTCACAACCAGATGAACGGCTCCAGATGAGGTTTTCCTTCTGCTGGCTTCACTCAGAAGATCTTCAGTGGACATGAGACACACCTGAGGTGAAGACAGACATCACAGCGTCAACAGCAGAGGTTCATTTAAATTAACCCTGGAAATATTTCCTATTTCATGTGTAGTTTTCAAAGCACCTAAAGAAAGAAAGGCCTGTAGTTGCTTCACACTTAGGAAAGAAGATTTTATTTTTCTTCAGCCTCTCTGTGCTGCATTTTAAAAATTATATTTAATTGTAGTTTCAGTCACTACTTTGGTATTATTCTGGGTGTTTATTCCTCCAGTCTACACTGCAGTAAGAAGAACTACAACATGTGCATCAGTCATTAAACAACCGACTGTCCAACAACACGTTAAAGACCAGAGTGTAGATGAACAGTTTTATCAGTTAAACATCAGACAGCAGAGATTCAGACTACTGATAGAACCTCAACGTTACTGTTTTAATCATATTTAATGGGGATGTGGCGCAAATGTCCTCCGGGCGGGACTCTGATTCCGCATGTCGAGTTTGGGGTAGATTGGAGCACATGCGGCTGAGTTACGAGCCACTTCCTGTTTAGTGGTGAGCAGCGGCGGCGGCATGCGTGTTGGCCGTGGCAGAAACGTGCTCTGGCTGAGACTCGGAGCACGCGTGAAAGTGCAAGGACCATAATAAACCTTACGGTTACAATAGGGTCCTAGCACTTTTAGTGCTCTGACCCTAATAACAACATTAAAAGCATTTCATTTCAAAGAAGAAGAAGATTGTAGAGACAAATTTGTGGTGATGATGTCATCCTGATGATGATGACATCATCAAATCCCTACAACATTGTTGCAATTGTGATGATGTTATCATTGAACATGCTAATGGAATTTTTGTATGTATTTTTATATGTGTGGCGAATTTTGTAGTTGTAGGTGAAACGTAGCCGCGATGGAACTCTGTTGAAATTATGTAGGGGGCGCAGTTGAGCCGAGTTGCATTTTAGAGCTTGGAGTGGGGGGACTTTTTTGTTTGTCCTGACCTGCTCTATATGCCTACCAAATTGCGTAGCTCTAGGTCAAACGTGCTCCCGATGGGACTCCTTTGAAATTTTCAAGGTGGCGCTGTGGAGCCATTTTGGCAGTGACATGTCCAAGTCCCTTAAAATATCAAATTTTTCACCAGTCCTGGGGTGTGTGATGATTTTGGTGAATTTTCGTGCATGTTTAGGCCCTCAAAATGGCGTTTCTTTTGGCGGGAAAAAAATAAATAAAATAAAATAATAGTAATAATAATAATAATAATACACCTAATGGTTACAATAGGTTCCTTGCATTGCTAGTCCTCAGACCCTAAAAAAACCATTTACTGACCGAACAGATCCTTTCAGTGTCTCTGGTTCAATCAGCCAAAGGTCCGAATTACGGTGAACTGAAAATTGGTTAAAGCCAGCCAGCGGACAGTACAACTTTGTGAAAAATGTGCTGCTACCCTTCTGCTACTCAGGAGACCTGAGTTCATGGTGAATGAGACTCCAGGCTGCCTCTTCCCTACGACCTGTCAATTAAGCCAGCCACACCCCTTGGCCCTCAAAATTTTGATGATTTTTTTTAAAAAAACAGTATTGATTTATATTCAGGTTGGTCACCTGATCTGACCATTAAAACTAACAAAAAGATAAAATCCTGAGCTGGAGGAAAGCGGTATTTTGTGATCTGTGATCATTCCATTTACAATTGGGGTCTATGGGAGCTAGGGCTTTTTGGAGCCAGCAACTAGCGAACGTAGTGATACTGCAGGTTTTTGACACTTCTGGGTTGGCTTCATTTTTCAGGGCCGGTTGCTACGTCCATCTTTTTTACAGTCTATGACCCTGAGTCAGCTGAGATAGGCTCCGCCCCCGACGACCATTTTAGGTCAAGATTTTGAGATAAAAAATTCCTTGAAAACTAAATTTTGAGATAAATATAGGAAAAAATACTACTTTGTAGGTTGACATAATACTTCTCTGAATGAGTTAATTTTTGTAATGACTAAAGTCAAAATTTTTACTTTTTTACTCAAAGAGCTGGTCTTTTCTCAAAACTTTGCATCCAACTCAGGATAGAGGACGAAAAAAAAAAAAGTCATAGCTTCAAACTGCACAAAAGATGTATAAACTTTATGTAGATAAAGTGAGCTTCATCTGATGGAATTCTGCAGCTAGAAGAGCACTGTCACACTTAGAATGTATGCGCTTCTACAAAAAACTACCGACCCAAAAGAGCTTTTCTTTGTGCCCATATACACTTTGTGGACGAATGTAAGGAAATCAAAGGAAGGGCACAGGTGGAAGTGAAATTGACAAGTATTCATAAAGTAAAGTAGATATGATAACAACACCCGGTCCAGATTGTCTATCTCAATTCTGCTTTAAACATGCTGCACACAACCCTTGAAGCTTCATATTATCTTCTGTCCAAATAAATTTTTTAGTCTTTGGAATCCTGTATTATTAAGACACGTAAAAAGGACTCCTTTTATACCGTTAAAATCAACAGTTAGTGTTTGTTTCTCTATATTATACCGAAAACGAACAGAAAACAAACAGAACCGTATTTACCATAAGTTTTAGTTAAAACATAACTGTATCATAGCAGCTCTGTAAATGTAACGCATTTTCTTTTGTTTCTGTGGACATTTGGAAGCCTCATTTTTTATGTGTTTCTCAGCGGACCGTGAAGGCAGCACGAGGTTCTCTGTTTGATGATTGGCTGCCGTTGCTATGGGAGCGGCTACCGTTGCTACGGTAACGTGTCTTAAGGAGGGATTTAGTCAATCAGAGTTTCAGACTCGGAACGTCGTCAAGCAGCTGCAGTGCTAACATGCAAACATGCTAACCCAGGAATGTACACGATTAAAAACGGAGAACAAAACAACGGAAGCGGTCAAAAAGACTCCGCTTTGAGTGAGCAGAAGCCACAGGGGCTGATAGAAAACCGAAGTGAAAGTTTTTAACTTTTTAAAAAGGTCTCTGTCCGCTGCTCGCTGGCCTGCTAGCGGCTGACCGAGCTGTTAGCACTTGAAAAAGTTGGTGGAGCCAGCGGGCGGAGGTGAGATTGACCAGGAATTAGACGGAGCCATGACGGTGGAGGGCGTGAAGCACTCCCCGGTCCTGTCTGCGCTGTTCAGGATGACAGAAGACTGTGAGCTGGCTGGAGCTGTAGAGTTCATTAAAGGTAACTCTGAAAGTATTTCAGTAAGGACAAAAAGTGTCATAAATAGTGGAGAGGTTACCAGAGATAACTAAGGGAAGTAAAAGATTTATCAAATAGTGCAGCATGGCAGTGGACTAAAAGCTTCAGAACTAATTTAAAGATGAAAAGCGAACAAAGGAAAGAGTTAAACTTCAATATCAAAAGGTAAATCAAGAATCTTTATTGTCCACCTAAGCATAGCAGAAGCTAACACACAGATTCGGCATCAGATGTCTCAAAATCTATCAGACACTGAGTTAATGTTCCTAAGCAGCTATGTTTGATGGGACTTCATAAGAAAGCAAAGTGTGAATTCACGGAAATGTTTTTTAAAAAAAAATTTAATATAGCACTTCTGATTCACTATTTGCATGGCCATTAATTCCTGAGTAAAACCATACATAGTGAATGATATAAATGTTTGTTATAGTTGACAGGGTTTCTCAAGCATGAGTCATTTCTACAGCTGCTTTGTCCTGATGATTTTGAAAATTTAAAAACTGGTTTTAAATGTGCTGCACTATCCCATCCACAGCACTATCTGATTGGTGAAACATCACAAGTAATAGCCCATCAACAGAAAAGGACAAAACAACCACAAAAAAACATGTAAAGCAAATAAAGGCATTAAATGAAGCTTTGTGTTGGTGTTTCTGTCATTTTTACTGCAAATGTCACCTCCACATATTGTTTTCCATTCCAGTTTATTTTCTTTCCTTGGTCACCAATATTAGGTTTGTTATAAATTGATCAAAGTTAAGAGTTAGGTAGCGATATTTTTTTAAGGTAGTTTTTATTATGGAGTATATCAAATACATTATAGTTAATACACGGGGTGTATTCCTTTTCCCTAAAAGATTAGCAGAAGTTCACTTTATTAAAGGTAAAAAGTGGTAAAAATGGTTCAGTAAGTGATAGAGAAGAATATTGAAATGTTTTTAATTTACTGTATTAAAGATAGTGCCACCATTAAAATTAAATTTATCAGCTGATCAGCAGGTTCACTGGTTAACGATCATGTAGTTTGCTGAAAAAATTAAAGTTATGTAGAAAATATATGGTAATTTGCTGAGAAGAAGAACCTGTTCCCAGCTTATTTATCTGCTTGTAATGAATCAATATCAGTAATTGGGTAGATGATCCAGGAACATTAGTATGTCACTCAAATGCATAGTATTTTATATTTATATTTATACTAAAATACCAACATGATTTGTGGCGTCGTCCTTTTTTGTGTGTTGCTGCTGCTGAGTGCAGAGAAGAATTCCTGTTACAACTCAGTAGTTTGTAACAAGTGTTACAGAACAAGTGATGAATCAGAGGACCTGTGAGATTGTTAACAAGATAATGGGAAAGAAGAGCTTCGAAACCTATTTAAATAATATTAAATCACATCAAATCAACTTTATTTATAGAGCGCTTTAGAACAGTCACAGCTGAAACAAAGTGCTGTACATGTGGGGGTCATAAAAACAACAAAATAAATCAACAATAAAAACAGCTAACAGTCCGAGGTCTGTAAAAAAAATCCCACGATGCTGTTTTCATAAATAACACCAAAACTGTGATAAGAAACTGCACATTTTTAGTTTTTAGGGGTCACATATTCAACATGGATGAGAACACGGGCTTATCCTTTCCTAAAATGTAATAAAACTAAAATTCTGTATATTGTATATTTTCTGACACACATTTGATGTTACATTGAGTTCAGATTTACAAAGTCTGATTTTAAAAATTGGATTTTAAAATAGCTGAATTCAAAGAGTTGAACTGATCTTATTTTCAACAGTTCCTTTTGCCTGTCTCCTTCTCTAACAGAGCGTCTATACTTCGCAACCTTACGCAGTAAACCCAAAAGCACTGCCAACACTCACTACTTCTGCACAGATGATGAGTTTATCTACGAAAAGTAAGTTTATCACACTTGCTGCACTGTATTGGTAGCGCTTGGTATTGATCTGCTGCAGGAATGTTATATGTGAAGATGCTACAGATTAAGTTTTTTAGGTGGACAGGTCTTTATCTGGTCTCAGTGGACCTGTTCCTGCAGCTACATGTTGTTGTCGTTATTGTCCAGAGCTTACAGTATCTACACTGCCTTCACTACCTACAGTACCACAGAAAAGCAAGGACGATGACTCTTTGAGAAGTTTTGCGCCTTAGTACCACATAATAGTGAGTTTCTGGTGTTAACTGTATTAACAACACAGCACAAATTCTTCTGAATTGCTTGTACATGCTGCAGTAAGACAAATCTGTGGGTATGGGTCATTCTTAATTAGGCCTGTTGCGTCTTGCACTTCCTCAAAAGTTGGTGATCTCCACTGGGTTACCTAAGCCCTGCCCCTCCATGAAACAAATTTGGCTTTTAAATGTTTTAAAATGTAGTTCAATAGCTATCAAGTCAGCACAGCATATCTAGAAGTGATTAAGGTTAGGGTAAGGGGGTTGTGGTATGGATTGGGGGTTTAGGCTTCAGGTCAGTAGCACAGTAATTGAATAGTTTTAGCTTTGTAAGGTGGGAAAGAAGGTTGTTGCCTTTCGAATGTTGTTCGCTTGAGCCACATTCAGAGTGTAATCCTGTGGCTACGCTTACACGTAACCTATGCAATGTGTTTGTGGGAATGGATGCTGCCACAGTAGGCTTCCACTGCAGCCAACAATTGCATGCAGAGAAAAAGGTAAGGAGGAACCAGATTTGTGGAATATTTTAACAAGAAGAATATACTTCTGTGCGTGAAGTCTGTTTATTACACAACTAGAATGTTTAAAACTAAACATAAAATGACCATCAGCATAGTCAAGAAACTCAAAAACCTTTTTGCTAATTTGTTTATCAAGTTTTCTAACAGTGTTCCACAGAAAAAAAAAAAATCTAAATTTTCATCATACCCAAGGCAAATTCCAGACAAGAAAAAATAGAAAAAGAGCTTTCACAGATGGTCCAATAGATATTAATGGAGTTCCAGCTGACTGGATAGAGCTGTGTGGACATCAGGCGCATAAGTAGCTAAATCGTAAAATAGAATTTAACCTTTTGTTTTTTCACTATGTACAGTTGAAAACAGAAGTTTACACACACAGTATAAAAAGACACATAACCTTCTTTTTCTCACTATCGGACAATATATTAAACTGAATCTTTCCTGTTTTAGGTCAGTTAGGATCACCAAAATTATTTCTATTTGCTAAATGCCAGAATAATGAGAGAGATATTTTTTTAAGAGATTTTTTTATTACTTTCTTCAACATCAGAAGTTTACATTCACTCAGATAACTATGCCTTCAAACTATTTGGGAAAGCCCAGATGATGATGTCATGGCTTTGGAAGCTTTTGATAGGTTAATTTACATAATTTGAGTGAACTGGAGGCACACCTGTGGATGTATTTTAAGGCACACCTCAAACACACTGCTTACTTTTGTGACAGCATGGAAAATCTAAAGAAATCAGCCAAGATATCAGGAAGAGAATTGTGGACCTCCACAAGTCTGCTTCATCCTTGGGTACAATTTCCAGATGCCTGAAGGTGGTTCCACATTCATCTATTCAAACAATTATACTCAAGTACAAACACCATGGGAATATCTAGCCATCATAACGCTCAGGAAGGAGATGGGTTCTGTGTCCCAGAGATGAAGTGTTTTGGTGAGGAAATGTGCATATCAACCTCAGAACAAAAGCATAAGACCTTGTGAAGATGCTGCTGAAGCTGGTACGAGAGTGTCATTATCCACAGTGAAACCAGTTCTGTACTGATGTGGGCTGAAAGGCTACTCATAGAGGAAGAAGACATTACTCCAAAAGCAACATAGAAAAGACAGATTACAGTTTGCAAATGCACACAAGGACAAAGACCTTGCTTTCTGGAGATATGTCCTGTGGTCTGATGAAATTAAAACTGAACTGTTTGGCCATAATGACCGTTGTTAATTTGGAGGAAAAAGGGGGAAGCTTGCAAGCCTTTTTTTGTGATCCAATTTTTGTTCATTTCCTTTTTACAAGACAAATCATCCAAACAATAACATAATGAAAAGTATAAAGACAAATACGACATAAAATACAGTACATAAGAATAACATTAGAACCTCACCTACCCCCCCCAGAAAGTATGCATGCACATATATGCATATACACACACATATACATGTATAAATACGTGTACATCATTAAACAAACAAACAAAAAAGGGGGTGCCACCTGAACCTTATGTATACAATGATGTAGACCAACATCAAATATGTTAAGCTTGTTAGAGATTCTTTCCCAATACTGCAGTGAGAATTACAGGTACATGTACAAATATCAGTATATCCAAACCAGCCTTCCCGTATACAAATTGTTCGACATAATAGTTAGAGAAAGATAATCAAATTAAAAGTTATTTTTAGTGAGCCTAATGCAGTTCTCCAGCTATGCAGAACCGTATCCGAGGCTCCATTTATTCGAACAGTTGATAATTCAAGATAGATAACATCCAAAAATGATAGAGCCCAGTGTCTTTTGATAAGGGAAGGAGGCGGCTTCCATCTTACTGCAATCTTTTTTTTTAGCAGCTGTTAAGCCAGCCAATACAATGTGCTTTTGTGACTTATTGATGTTAAGCTTTGATAAATCATTCAACAGTAGTACAGACACAGTCACTGGGATAGTCATGGAGAGCAAAGCAGAGAGAATGGAAGCCACTGTAGTCCAAAAGTTTGACACTGGTGGGCAGTCCCACATCATATGAAGATAAGTGCCAGGACACTTCAAAGGACATAGTGTGCACAAAGGATCACCTATCATTTTCATACAGTACAGTTTACGTGGTGTTAAATATGTGCTATGAGCAAAATTAAAGTGAATCTGTTGCAGTGACGTGCGGTGAGGTTCATGGCTGGTGAGGCACTGACTTCATCAAAATCTGATTTACAAATATATGCACTCTACACAGTTGCTTTTTTGCCATTTCATTGGCAGCAATTTGCGGGTTATGTTTAATATCTGCATTCTTTACACATATAAGCTGTAGCCCACAAAGCGCATGTGTTTTTTTTTTTGTTTGTTTGTTTTGTTTTTCTTTAGTTATTGCGATCTTACCTTTACCTTTGAGTGAAATCCATGCTCTGCTCCTTCTGGACAAAAATATCTGTTACTTTTTTGTAAAAGTCTCTTTATCTTCCTTCGCTGCACTTGACTTGCTAACTGTATACCGTGCCTAGTCTAGCTTGGTGTCACTTACTCTGCAGCCGCGGAGTCACAAGAAGCATGTCTGAGATCATGAGCACCCCCTGCCATGAGGCAAGAGAACTGCCTGCCTCACCTGGAACCTCTTCTCAGCCGTTCATGATCGCTCAGCACACGAAACACATTACACACATACAGTTGGTTAAAAAAAAAAAAAAAAAAAACTGTACATTATTATATACATCAGCTGAACTATGGAAAATCAGTTCATATATTAAATGTGTTGGAATCATGTTATTGGCGACATCCAGACAGCAGTACGCTGTCACTGCATGGCATCCAGCATAGGTAACGAGGGATTGCAATCCAAGTGAGGCTTAGCCCGCTGTTGCCTCACTTGGATTGCACAATCCCTCACTTCGCTGGCTGCCATGCAGTGACAGCCTACGCATGGCAGCCAGCACAGTGAGGGATTGTGCACTCCAAGGTGAAGCTCAGTTCACCGCTGCCTCACCGGCTTCTCTTCCAAGCATTTGAATGGGAAATTGCAAAAATTCAGCGATTTTGAATTTAAAAATCATCAAAATTGACGAGGCTAAATGAAAAAATAAATACTTTATAGTACAAATCACTGGATAAATATAACCAATTAAATTATTTTATCATTATATATTTTTTTCTTTCCGTGATGTCAGGTGAGGCTCCATACACTATCCATTGGTAGAGCTTGATAAGAAACCTCAAGACAGCATTTATACAGGGTGGAGACCAGACCCCTGGATTTACCTAATGTGGTAGATAATTTACGAATCGGATGAATGGGCAGAGGTTGCTGCCATGGAACACCATATGCTTTGAGAGCTGACCTTATTTGCAGGTAAAAGAAGAAGGATGAACCTGGCAGGTTGAAAGCGCCTTTGATGTCTTGAAAGGAACGCAGACCCATGTCATCAAAAATATCACCTAAGTACTTGATTTTAGAATCACTTCACTGGGAGGATGAGATGGGTCTGCCCCCAGTCAACAGGTTATGATTATTAAACAAAGGCGACCATCTATGCCACTTGCAAGAAATTTTATACTGGGATTCCATCACTCTCCAGGTTTGGATGAGATGAGAAATAATTGGACCAAAGCGAAGCTGACATTGCTTATGTGATATATAGAGAATATATGTCAGATTCCATGGTTGTACCAAATTTCTCTCCAAGTTGTACCAAGAAACTGAAGCGTTGGGGTTACACCATACCATAAGTGGACAGAAGGTAAAGGACCCAAAAATAAAACTTAAAATTGGGTAACGACAGCCCACCGTCCCCCTTATCTCTTTGAAGCGTGGATAACTTCAAAAGTGGACGTTTTGATTTCCAGATAAACTGTGAAAAGTAGGAGTGAATTTTATTCCAGTAGTTAACTGGTTGTGGAAGGGGAATCATGGAGCTAATAGAATTGATTCTGGGTAAAATATTCATTTTAATTAAAGAAATACAGGCTTGAAGAGAGTTGGGGAGATTTACCTACCTGTCCAAGTCTGTGTTGACTCTGCTCAAAGCATCAGAAAAATTAAAGGTTGCAATGCGATTTAGAGATGGGAAGATTTGCACACCAAGGTACTTGAAGTTCTGAACTACAGAGATGTCGGTTGGATTTTGCAACTTTTTGGCCGGATCATTTAATGGTACAAGGGCTGATTTTGTCCAGTTAGTCCTAAATCCAGATAAGTACCTAACATCCTCACG